CTGTTTGTTATGTAATTACTGCACAACTTTAATCCTGCAGACTGCCTGCGGTACATGTCTGCTTGTTTAGAAACTAGCTGAGGGAGGAAGGGATGCCTGGAAAATCCCTATGGCCCAAGGTGCCTTGCTGCCCATCTGCCCCAGGGGGCGCCATCTCCCGTCAGCCTCGCTAAGCCCCGCAGAGTGAGAAGCGTTGCTTTTCCTGATTACACAGGCTCCTATCCTCCCTCTGGTCAGCCTCCATCTGCGAACAGTCTCCTCTGAAATGGAGATGTCTTCAGTTTAGAACTGCACTCTTCAATACAGTAGCCACTAGCCACATGTGGCTATATAAACTTAAATTAATCAGATAAATTAAACTAAAAATGTGGCTGCCTGGTTGCACTAGCCACATTTCAAGTGCTCAATTATCACATGGACTGGTGGCCACTGTGTTGGGCAGTGCAGGTGCAGCATAGGTCTCTCACAGCAGAAGGCTCCACTGAACAGTGCAGGTTTGGAAGGTTGGGCTGAACCACACCACACACATCCTATTCACTCTGCGATCTGGGGGCATATTTTAGTTTTGCTATCAAATTATTATTATTGTATTAACTTGATTTTACTTTGCTAATCCATTGCTTATAAATTCCTAGTGTTAGAGTAGGTAGCTAGGCAGGCATGAGCAGGGCAGGAGAGGGCCCCCCTCCCACAGGAATGTCAGGTGACTGTTAAGTAATGGTCAGGCAATTGTTAAGCTGTCTCTGTAAAATAACTGGTTGCAGCCAGAGCCAGAGAAAGAGTCTCCCAATAGATAGAAAACATCTGAAGCGGGTAATCAGCAGCTTCCTAAGATCTCAGGAGTTGGGCGAGTGGGCTCAAGCATGCACATTAAGAGGCAAAATGGCAGAGTTTAACCGGTATATGACCTTCCTCTAGAAACGACTGATAAGGGAAAAATACCTCAAGTGAGCATGCATACATCTCCAGTAAACACACTGAGCATGCAGCCCCTCCCAAGTGCTGGCAAGCCACCATGCCTGCAGACAGCCTGCTCCAAGGAAAGAGTCGGGGGAGAAGAAACACAAACCCTGGAACCATGCCAATGTATAAAACCTCAAGTCAAGGGCCCGACGGGGCACTTGGATCTCTCAGGTCACCTGCTTGGCTCTCTTCCAAGTATACTTTACTTCCATTTGTTCCTGCTCTAAAACTTTTTAATAAACCTTCACTCCTGCGCTAAAACTTGCCTCAGTTTCCTCCTCTGCCTTAAACCTACCTCTGCCCCTCGACCAAATTCTTTCCTCCAAGGAGGCAAGACTCGAGTTGCTGCAGACCCGTATGGATTTGCTGCTGCTAACATACTTTGGTGCCATGTGATTCAGACACATTCTCTAGTGGTAAGACACTTCTATAACTCACCTTCTGCTGGAGGTAGTTAAACCCTGTATCCGTTTTCCTTCTCCTGCTCTCCTGCCTATAGAAAAACTGTTCCTCCTGAACAATTCCTCTCAGCTATAGTGGCTTTGCTCCTGCCAGTTGATCTCTCAGCTCATCCTGGTGGCTTGCAGGGGTACAGGTCTGCTGGTTATGTTGCCCAGGCTGGCCTCAAACTCCTGGGCTTCAAATGATCCTTTCATCTTAGCCTCCTGAGTACTGGGACTATAGGGGCCCACTGCCATGCCTGGCTGGTTAGGTTACTTTTCTGTGGATCACAGCCCATCATTCACCAATGCCTTGCCAACAGCAGTAAATGTCTCATCCCTGGATCCTGGAACTGATAACTTAACAGCTCTGCCAGGTCTTCAGGTAAGGAGAGCAGGCCAACAGTCTGACTTCCAAGATAAATCTGCAGCAGGTATGTCTGCCACTTCCCTTTTACTCTTCCCTCAATTTTATTTAGAAAATGTTTAGGTATTTCTGGGGAAATCTAAGACATATATGATTGGGTTCCCACCCTTAGCAGTTTAAAGTTTTGTTTCAAATAAAAGTAATGCCCTTAAAACAATTAACACTACAAATTGCCAGATAGTAAAAGGTGCTTTGTACAGCGATTAAAATAAAATTTTATCCCCAAACCTGTGAGTGGCTCAGTCCCTCAAATATAGGTGCAAGTCTTCTGTACTATAGAGAAGTTTCTATTAAAGAATGGCCATGATAAACAAGCCATGCTTTCTCAAATACATGTATCCCCATATTGACACATACACACAGTCATGGAGGGCCCCAGGTGCTGGTTTGTTTTTCCTCATGGAGTAGAAAGGCTTGCTGAGAAGAGCACGGCCAAGGGTGCTTGACAAGGCTCAGGCCATTCTAACACTGCCCTGTGGACCTGTCTTGAATGGCATGGTTGGCTCGTCCCTGGGTAAAACTCAGCTCTCAAAGCTGAAAGATTCCTACATGTCAGGCAGGGTTACTTTAAATCGCCACCCTGCCTTGAAAGGTCTCTTTCAGGAAGACAGGTGCATATTTGGCTCAGTCTGTTCTTTTATTCATTTGTCCACCATTCCCTACATCCATCTGTCCATCGGTGTGTAATCTATGCGGCCTCATGGTTCATGCCCATAAGGAACACCTCACTCATTTGTACCAGTTTGGTAGAAAGGACAGTCTGAATGAATTCATTCAAAAAAAGGCCTGCAAACCTGCTAGAGCTCTTCAGATCTTTTATCAGGGCCCCCTGGCATAGCTCCATACTCAGAGCAGGGCAAGAAGTACTGGCTTTGCAGCCTGACAGTCCTGGGTGACTGCTGGGATGTGTGTTCTTGGGTAAGTGGGTTAATCTCTCTAGTCTTCTGTTTGCCTATCTGTAAGTGACTAGGATTAGATGGCTGTACATAGAAGCATCCAGCATAGGGCCAGGCTTGCAGTAGAACTGAGTGTTAGTCTCTGGATCCTGAGGTTGCTCCTGGTCCATGCTCCCAATGCTTGACATTTGCCCTTAGGAAGAGCCACATGAGGTTTGCCTAGGAGGTGGGAGAGAGCAAAAGCATTGGAGAGAAGCAACCTGAATGGTAGTGCAGAGCCAGAGAAGGGAGGCCAGGCACCTTCACAAGAGGGCAGCTGCTTCTGGGAAAGCAGACATCGGAGTACATGCCTCTCCCTAGTACCCTCTCCACGAGGAGGCACTGGGGCATGTGACCCAGGCTGACATGCCTCTAATTCCTGCCTTCCAGCGTTATTTCCCAGAAGGGTCAGTAATGTTAGATCATAGAGACTGACAACTAGAACTGTACTGAGATCAAAGTAGTCAACATCTGGGGAATTCCAGGAGTAGAGAGGGCAGCCCAAGGAAACCAGATGATTCCAGCCAGGCTAGGCAGGGTGGGTGGGCACTGCTTGCTGAGGTGCCTGAGTGGTGTGGGCTTAGGAGGGAGCACTGTACCAGGCCCTCTGGCAGACTCATCATCATCCTGTTGATTGGTCTGGTAATGACCGAGACCTGAGTGTGTATCTTCGATTTGCCAGTTTCTAGTTGTGTGCACTGAGGGCTGTTATTTTGGCTATGGTCCTCAGTGTTCTCATCTATAAAGGAAGGATAATATTGACTGCAGGGCTGCTATGGGGCTTAACAGCTATCACATATGCTGGAGCTGCATGTGCACACAGAACCCAGCCCATGCCATGGACTTAGCATTGGCCCAGACCCCAACTGTTCCAAAAAGATGTCTGACTAGCAAATGAAGTAATTTTAAGGTACAAATGCCACCATCTTTGGTGGATGGCCAGAGCCAAACCTCCTTATTGTTCCCCTTTAGTTTATGAATAAAGCCCTGTCAGGCCCTGACAGAAGAACCAGCCCCAAAGCAGAATGAAGGGGGTGTGGGGTATCAGAGTAACCCACCCATCTCTGACCCACGCACTACATAGGGGCGGGTTGGTCATATGGATTCTGATCTGAAGGATGGGAGTAGGGGGTGGGTCTTTTATAGTAACCAGCTGAGGGCTCTTAAAAAATGTTCAGCGGAAACATGAACCACATCACAAAAGTAGAGGCAGACCTTGCTTCACGAGCAAGCTCATCTGTGGAACAAACCGGCAAAGCACCTCTGCTGGTGAGTCATTTGTCTTACTCTTTACACTGAAAAGAAGACAGGGAGGACTAACCCCAGGTATTGTTGGTATTCTCTGATTCCTGTCTGTAGTAGGGCACAGTGCACAATGCCAGGCTATGGAGCTCAGCTGCTCTTAGTTCAAATTACATCACTGCCATTTGCTACTGTGTGGGTTAAACTGGAGAAACATGAAAACTACTGAGCATGTTTCCAGGCACACAGTTAGTGCTTGTAGGCTGACGGTACTGCTAGTAATGGCATAGTCAGACCCACCCAGGGAGATAAGGAGGATCTAGTTATTGTCTATATTTGCTCAATGGATAATCTGTTTTCATTTCTTTTGCATAAGACAGGCTGTTTTCTCAGATTATCATTTATGTTATTTTTTCAATATAAATCAATATACTACTGTAGAAACTTTGAAAACTATTTTAAAAAAAGGAAGAAATAAGTCACCCATAATTCCACCAGCTGGAGGCCAACTGTTAATAAAATGTGATCATTTTTTCCAAGTTTCTAAAAGTATGGTCAGTCAAAAATCACGTAGTTTATCATGAACTCTTAAATGAGGGCCCACAGAATACATGGCAGAGGGATTCAAGGGGTTCATGGACTCCCAGAATTGCAGGGGTATTTGTGCGTGCATGTGTGCGTGTGTGTGTGTGTGTGTGTGTGTATACATTATTTCTGAGAAAAGGTCTGCAGTTTTTAGGAGATTCTCAAAGGAGTTTATGGTCAAAAAAGGTTATGAATCACAATTAATTTTATATCCTTTTGACATCTATTTGTTGTAATAGTAATAGCTAATACTTATTTTGCATACTTACTTTGTTTACACTGTTCTTAGCAATTTAACTAAGAGTATTGCATTTTCCAAAATCAGTAAAAATACTTCCTAAACATTTAAGTCATATTCTATTTTATGTCTGAATTATAATTTGCTTCATCATTATCAGACTTTTACAGTATTTCCAAAGTTGTAGATTTTTTTTTAATTTCCAGAAAACAAAATAGGATTTTGATTATAGAAGATAAATGTTTTTAGTTCGCCTAGAAGGGGAAGTAATTTTTAATACTCTATTTGCACAGCACTGTCCAGGCCCAACCTGTTTACCAATTATTATACATCAAAGTTTACCAATTATTACACATGAATTTGCACAGGTCCTTTGATGAAATGTGTAATGGCAGCATAATGGACCAGTAAAAGCTGGAACAGGAGGATACCAAAAAAAGGCAAGAGCAAGTCAAGCAATAATGGGGAGCTGGACACTACTCTTAAGAGCAAAATCACCTGTTTCATATTTTAAATGACGAAAAAATATGTTTTGCCCATGTGAATCAATAACACAAACGCATCATCTGACCTACTTAATATAGTGCCCCAGAGAGCTTGTTGGGGGCAGGATGTCTACTGGCTGACCTATCACCCTTAGAGATCTAACAATTGTGGTGTAAGGGCAAGGATTGTTATTAAGCAGTCTTAGCCCAAAGGCAGCATCCTTCCTTGCTAGAGAGAAAGGGCACTTTGGCCCCTGGAAAGACAGAGGCAAGCAGCAGCATCGGAGACACTGCTCCCAGTCAGGACTCAACGTCAGGGACAGAAGTGTTTCTGAGTGGATTAGGAAAGGTAACCTCATTGTTTATATGCCCTTGTCTGGTCAGGCAATATTTTGACTTTGCTGGCAGAGATTCTGTCCAAACACCTGCTCTTCTTCATACATCTTTTTGAGGTGCTGGCCAGACATAGCTCCAGGTCACTGGAAATGAGCTGCTGCATGTTGAGTATCTGCAGGTCAGTAGCAAGGGCAGGCTTTGCACTCATGGGCTGATGTTGCCGCAGCGGCCCCTGCTCCCACACCACAGGTTACATAATCCCTTGTCCTGTCCGTGGTCTTTGGCAGGGTCACAGGGCAGAGGGAAGGGTCAGAGAGAAGTGACATCTTGAAGGGCTGGTGCCCTGGGTAAGAAAGATAGCCCATCTGGCACCCCATTTCAATTGGGTCTTCTGCTTGTTAAATGAGGCCCCTAAGTCCTAACCTGCCAATCACAGGAGCTAAGGCAAGGTTCTGCTTTGGGGAAATCTACCTTTTAAGAGACTTCTTGCTCAGAAGTCTTCAGGAAATGAGACTCTGATGGTGGAATGTCATAAACTGTGTTAGATGATGAAGGGGAAAGTTTAGTTGGGAAGTGAGAACCACCTAGTGCTTTATCCATGAAGCCAGCTCAGCCAAAGTGCTGGGCAGCTGTGGGCTTTTCTATCCCTTGTTTCCCCATTAATAGCCTTTGAAAATCTATGCAATTGAGGGGAAGTAAAGGCAGGAAGGACTACCTACCCAGGAAGAGCAGTCTTGCCATCCCCAAACACCTGTGGTCTCCAGGAGTCTCCTTGATAGGAGAGCCCCCTGGTAGGGGCACTTGCTTTAGCATTCACAATTTATTAGGAAATGGGGCTCAGGATGGGTGGGCAACTGTGGCGAGGCAGGGGGAGATGAAAACAGGCATGTCCCATTGATGAGCTCAGATTATCAGTGGGCTCATCCACTGATACCCAGATTATCAGCGGGCTCAACCATCCATTATCAGTGTTGCTCTTCCAAAGAGCACTGTGACCACCTGGCAGCAAAGCGACTTTTGCTTTCAAAATAATTGAGCACAGGATTTTATGGAATGTGCTTAGGGGTCAGTTATGAGTTGTCTCCCACATGGGTGAGATCCTGAGAATTTTCAGGCTAATGGAGAGTCCTCGTCCTGTCTGAGCAATTTCCCCTCAGAATTGATTATCTTCAATATACTGGACTGTGCTGTTTCTACACAGCCTAGTGGGTGGGTTTAGGAGATGACTATTTGCCCCCTAAATGTGGTCAATGGGACAGCAGGAAGACAGAGAATGCCATCCTCAGCCCAAATATAATTCCTGGGTTCTGACTCACAGGTGTTCATCAGAACAAACACCATGGCAGAGTATGATCACTATGAAGATGATGGGTTCCTCAACAGTTTCAATGACAGCAGCCAGGAGGAGCATCAAGACTTCCTGCAGTTCAGGAAGGTCTTTCTGCCCTGCATGTACCTGGTGGTGTTTGTCTGTGGCCTGGTGGGGAACTCCCTGGTGCTGGTCATATCCATCTTCTACCATAAGCTGCAGAGCCTGACGGACGTGTTCCTGGTGAACCTACCCCTGGCTGACCTGGTGTTTGTCTGCACTCTGCCCTTCTGGGCCTATGCAGGCATCCATGAATGGATCTTTGGCCAGGTCATGTGCAAGACCCTACTGGGCGTCTACACTATTAACTTCTACACATCCATGCTCATCCTCACCTGCATCACTGTGGATCGTTTCATTGTAGTGGTTAAGGCCACCAAGGCCTACAACCAGCAAGCCAAGAGGATGACTTGGGGCAAGGTCATCTGCTTGCTCATCTGGGTGATATCCCTGCTGGTTTCCTTGCCCCAAATTATCTATGGCAATGTCTTTAATCTGGACAAGCTCATATGTGGTTATCATGACGAGGAGATTTCCACTGTGGTTCTTGCCACCCAGATGACACTGGGGTTCTTCTTGCCACTGCTCGCCATGATTGTCTGCTATTCAGTCATAATCAAAACACTGCTTCATGCTGGAGGCTTCCAGAAGCACAGATCTCTAAAGATCATCTTCCTTGTGATGGCTGTGTTCCTGCTGACCCAGACACCCTTCAACCTCGTGAAGCTCATCCGCAGCACACACTGGGAGTACTATGCCATGACCAGCTTTCACTACACCATCATAGTGACAGAGGCCATCGCATACCTGAGGGCCTGCCTTAACCCTGTGCTCTATGCCTTTGTCAGCCTGAAGTTTCGAAAGAACTTCTGGAAACTTGTGAAGGACATTGGCTGTCTCCCTTACCTTGGGGTCTCACATCAATGGAAATCTTCTGAGGACAATTCCAAGACTTTTTCTGCCTCCCACAATGTGGAGGCCACCAGCATGTTCCAGCTATAGGCCTTGCCAGCATTTCGAGAAGCTGCTCTGGAATTTGCAAGGCATGGTTGTGTCCTCTTGATGTGGTGAGGCAGGCTTTGTTTATAGTTTGCGCATTCTCATGGAGAAGTTATCAGACACTCTGACTGGTTTGGAATGCTTCTTCTCAGGCATGAACATGTACTGTTCTCTTCTTGAACACTCATGCCGAAAGCCCAAGTAGGGGGTCTAAAGTTTTTAAGGACTTTCCTTCCTCCATCTCCAAGAATGCTGAAATCAAGGGGGATGACATGTGACTTCTATGATCTCAGGTTCTCCTTGATTCGGACTGGGGCTGAAGGTTGAAGAGGTGAGCACAGCCCACAAAGCTGTTGGTGGTAGGTAGCACGCTGGGTGCCCAAGCTCAGAAGGCTCTTCTGACTACTGGGCAAACAGTGGAGATCAGAGCAGCCATGAAAACAAATGCTGGCACCTAACAGAAATGAGATCAGGCTCTGCCTCACCTTGACTTTTGTATAGGCAGATGTTCAAATTGCTTTGATTAATCCAGAATAACTAGCACCAGGGACTATGAATGGGCAAAATCAAATTAGAATAGGCTGAGGATTCCAGTGGTCCATGGAATGCTTGAAAAATGTGCAAAACAGCATTTAAGACTGTAATGAATCTAAGCAGCATTTCTGAAGTGGACTCTTTGGTGGCTTTGCTCATTTAAAAATGAAATTTTCCAATGTCTGCCATATAAACATATGTAAATGTATATACACACACATACACACATATGCTATATATTACTAGCATATGAGTTTCATAGCTAAGAAATAAAACTTTTAAAGTCTCCAAACTACTTTTATGCTTTGGTATATTCTATTTTAATGTGGTGTGCCTGGAATATACTTTTTTGGAATACACAAAAAAGTTACTTTTGGGCTCAGAGCATGGAAAATAAATTGTAAACTTTCAGGGCTGTGCTCTGTCATGGAAATGGAATATACCAGTGATAACGACCCTGCTCTTTCACTGTGGTTTCTAACCTCCTGTCTAAAGTGTGGGGCACATTTGTTTAACTTCTAGAATGTGGTCACAGGATGAGGCAGTTTTAAATGTCAGATTTTATGCATGTTTATTAAATCCTGGCAGTCTGTTCAATAGGCTTAAAGATGTTTTTTGGGCTTATGTATCCCCAAATCACTCACCAAATACGGAGAACCAACTGACAACAGCTAATTGGAATGCACAGAGAGGCAGGCCAGAACTGACTAAACAGTGTGGTCTTGGGGGCTGAATAGACCAGAGCTGAATCCCTGCCACTCACCAGTTTGTAAGACCTTGGGCGAAACTCAGCCTCTGAGCACGTGTTTCCTTTCTTTTTGGTGAAACATGGATCATAACCACCACCTCTACGGGTTGGTGTGAATACCTGAGACACTGCATGTAAAACACTTGGCACAGTTTGCGTTTGGGGAGAAAAGGTCCAAAAAATAGCAGTAGTTATTATTTCTTACAAGAACTGGTGACACAAAATGGAAGCCCTCCATGTCAGCCCTGTGGGTTAGTGAGGCAAGGGAGGGTTTATATGGTGCCTTCCAGGTGTGTGGCATACCATGTGTGCCTGGTACAGCTGAGCACAGGCTGGGCCTTTCAGAGCCCACATGATCCTCCTACTGTTTCATAAGCATGCCTAAACGCATCTACAAGCAGAGTTTTACTGTACTCAGGTCACATGGACCTCCGAGTGCTTCCTTCAACTACAAAATCTGCCCTTTTAGGGTGACAAGGCAACATTTATCTTTTAAGTGTCTTTCAAAGAGAGTTTCTGTCATTCCCCCTTTGTGCATTCATGTTAACACGGAACACTTCTGACAGAGGGGCCACCAGTCCCTGGTTTCCCTGACAGTGTCCTGACCCAAGGGACAGAGGCAGAAGTAGAGTCAGGAGACGGGGCCCGGCAGCATCTCCACGAGTCCCCATGGAGAGATGCAGCAAGGTGTGATGAGAATGCAGGCTCTGGGCTCACTCTGACAGTGTTCAGTGTTCAGTCACAGCTCCACCACTGTGTACCCCTGTGCAGGTGATGCAGCACCCCTGACCCAAGCCCTGGTTCACCACCTATGCCATTGGCTCATGGTGGCTTTCCCTCCTGGGGTGCTTGTGAGCACCATGCTTGGGCCTGCCTGGCCACAGCAACAGAAAAGCAGCCACCTGGGACCGTGGGACTTTCCCTGTCCAGGTGCCCGCCCTCTCCCAGGGTCCCTGCACTGGCCTTTTGTAGCTTAGGAAAGCCCTGCCTGCCTGGCCCCAGGAACAGCACAGCAGCAAAATCTTTCTTTGCCTTCCCTGCCTCCTCAGCCACTAATTGATCCTATGCCTCTGGGCCCTTACCTGCCACTCTTTGGAGTAGATGTCAGTTTTCCAACCCCTTCCCCTGGGTAGGGGAATAAACGCTGGCACAGCACGTGCAGATTACAGAAGGCCTTCATGTCTTGATTTCACTCCATCCACACCACAGCCCAGGAAGCAGAAGATGCTGTTGGTACAGGCTCCATTCCACAGAGGAGACTGAGGTCATGTGCAGGGCAGAGCCAGTTCCCAACCTCAGCCTACCCTTCTCCCTTCCACTTGGCTCTCCCCTCCGCTCGTCCACACCAGCACATGGTGTTGGAGGCCTGGTGGGAGGGGATCAGGCTGGGTGTGGGCTCTGCTTGAGTACACACTGCCTTGGTGTGGCCTCAGGGTTGGAGGGTAAAGGATTGTGCTCTTTCCCTATTTCCCTACCAAGTTCCCAACACCTGGGGGTTGCTGTAGTACTTATGGGCTCCAACCCCTTTAGAGATATGGCAGAGGCCACTAAGGGTCACATCATCTGAGATGTGGGGAACACAAGATGACACTGACTCTAGGGGCTACCTGAGAGCTAGGGGCCCAGGTGTCCTCCGTGGGTGTTCTGGACTGAGGAGATGGTGCCACAGAAGAGAAAAGCCTGGAGCTACCCCTACTGGAGGGGTGGAGGCAAAACAAAGAGGATGGGGACCAGGAGTGGTCAGGGCAGTCACTCTGGCCTCCTCCTCCAAGGGGCTCTCAAAGCAGCACCCCCTTCCAGCTGCCCAGTCCCTGTTGGTCCCTGGTAACTAATGCCATTTTGTAGGAGGCCTGGCACTATCATCCCCATTTTCAGATGAGAAAACTAGTTCAGACAGATTAATGCCTGCCAAAGCTCATACAACAGAGCTAGGACTACAACCTCACTAAACAGCCTTTCTTTGCCCAGAAATGTTGGCTCCAGGAAGGTTTCCTGCCACTGACAAGCCACAGGGTACCTGCCACCTCTGTATTCAGCTGAAGGCAGAGATCTTGGGGAAGCCCACGTGCAAGGTGGCTTTGTAACCTTAACCATTCACCATATCCTGTTCTCATTTTGTTTCTGAGATAGCAAGCGTCAAATCTCCCGGTGGGTGACAAATCTACCACAGCTCCCCTTAACACTCTGACCATGAAGCGCCTGTTCTGAAGCAATTACTGGCAAAGACGCTCCGAGGGTTCAGGGATTGTTTCTGTGCGAGAGTTTAAGCTCACTTAGGGTCATCTGGGTATCTGAAGGATCTTCCTTGGAGGAGACCCCTGGGCTGCGCAGTGCAAGGTACTGAGGCGGTAGCGGTAGCATGCACAGCTCAGCCCCTGATGACACAACATCAGGAAAGCAACATACCTCCATGAAAGTCTTCCCAGGCTTTAGGCACTGGGCTGGGCTCAGTGCTCCACACACAATTCTCATGCAATCTTCCTAACACCCCTAGGGTGAGTGCTGTCCCAGTCTCTTCGGTAGAGGGGAGGAAACTGAGTTCGTGGGCTGCACTGCCTAGAGCCATGGAGCCTGGAGGTGGCAGACCAGGCATGTTTGGTTCTAAAGTTCGAGCTCTTCACCACCATACTGTCTGTTCATCTGGTCGCTAGAGGGGGAGGCCGGGCCTCAAGGAGGCCATGACTGGGTAGAGGCTGAGCAAATGCTGAGGGAGCCACAGCCCAGTGCCCGTGCCAGCCCTTACCCCACAGGCCTGGTTCGCCAGCTGACAAAAGCTTGGTTTCCTTCTGTGCTTCAGTCCAGAGAACAGCTGGACACCTGGTCAGGGAGATGGTGGAGGGTGAGCCCGAGTGACTGAAAAGGGGGTGTGCACGGGTGTGTCTGGAGGGCTACAACGAATACCATCTTTTCTCCAGAAGTCAGGAGCTGTGCTCCTGCTCCGCACAACCATTCTAGCTCTGAGCCATGCACAGGGACCACTGGGAGGTTGCTTAGGGGGTCCCAGCATCAGGCCACATCTCCCTGGCAGGCTGGACTTTGGGACCCCCTTCTGACCCACCTCTGCCAGGAAGAGGGGCAAGGCAAACAACTTCCTTAGCCCCAAAACTGTGTATGTGTGCAAAAGAGCGAACATGAAGGCAGGGGAGATGGGCAAAATGGGGACATGGGATGGAAAGAAGAGAGCTGAACTCTTCCAAATGAATCTTAAGCCAGCGGACCGGAGGGAGGAGTCCAAAGCCTAGTTCTGGCACTTCCAACAACAGAAGTTATCCAGCCTCCTGAGGCTTCAGCTTCTTTGCCTATAAAATGAGATAATTCCCACTCCCTGATGGGCTGCACAGGGACTAGTGAGGTCACGTGTAAGAGCAGCTGGTGCAAGGAAGGCACTCAACAGCATCTCTCTCAACAACACTACTTCCAAGTGGCCTGATATTCCTCACGAATTCGGACTTAGTGTTTAATCTCTCCCGGATCCCTTCTTACCTTGGATTTGCTTATTTTTTCCCGAAGTTTCTTGCCAGGGATGCTTACACAAATCTAGGGCTCTAGATCTCCCACACTTTCTCAGACTCTTGGTGTTTTCGGTTTAGGTCTTAAAACTTAGGAAGAAAAAGAATGTAGGAAAAAGCTTCCAGAAATGCTTGGGTTTATCTCTAGCTAATGCACAAAAAAAGTATCTGACAATGCAGCCTTTAACTGACTGGGAAGGGTGGGTCTTCACCCAAACAGAAGTGCAGGGATTACAGGTTCCCATCAGTTAGTCCCACATCCTCCTTGGTGGCCGTGGACCACAACACTGGCAGTTTCCTTTCCCTGGAACAGTTCCTGATTTCCCAAGACCAAAACCACACATATTTGTCAGCAGTCAGAATGCCTTCTGTTTTTGTTCCTACTGGGCAGGGGAAGGTGAGGGGTGAGGAGAGAGAGAGCTGTAGGACAGTCACTTTCTCACTCAGGCTAGAGGAGGCAGCAAGACACTTTCAAGCCAGAATGTCCTCCCAGGCCCCCAGGTTCCTGGTCCTGCTCACTTTAGCTCCTACCATCTACCCACTTGGCTTTCCAGGTGATGGAGGCAGAGTATGGCTTAGTGCTAATGGAACGGAACATGCCCCAGGGACCATTGAGACATGGGGGTTGGGAGAACGCTGCAGACTTACATGGTCAGGGGTTGGAGGGGTGTCCCAGCAAGGAAAGGAAAAGCCCCAAGTCACAGAAGCGACAGTAGTAGAGATGATCTTGGGTCTGGTGAGTTTGGTGATCAGGCTGGCTTTATCCATGAAGCTATAACATGGCGAGTTCAGTCATTCTCTAGTCAGGGAACAGAGGGTTGTGGAGATACATGTAAGCCCAAAGTCCCTTGCACTGGCAGCATCATGAAGAGTAAAGACATGCAGCAGAAATCCTGAATGATCAATCTGACAGATCAGCCTTAGCCTTCCTCTGAATTCTGGGCAGATCTCAATGTGGAAGCAGAAGCATCATAGAATGTCCTTAGAGGGAAAATGGGTCAAGAAACGTCTGGGACCTGGGACCCACATAAATTC